ATCGACCCCGAGCTCCCAGCTCCGAAGCGCCGGCAACTAGTTGATCTCCTCGCCGAATACAGTGACGGTTTTGCCACGACATCGAAAGTTCGCCAAACACCAATGGCGAAACATCGCATTATTACTGACGACGACGCACTCCCTTTCCATCAGTTGCCGTATCGAGTCCCCTTAAAGGAAAGGAAAGTGATTCAATATCAAGTCCAGGAGATGCTCCACGACGACATCATTCAACCCTCAAGAAGTCCATGGGCGTCCCCAGTCGTCCTTGTAAAAAGAAGGACGGAACCCTGCGGTTCTGCGTGGACTAACGTTGACTGAACGCTGTGACAAAGAAGGACGTCTATCCGCTCCCCTGCATCGGCGATACGTTAGACCGACTGCGCCACTCCCGATATTTTTCGTCGATGAACCTGAAAAGTGGTTACTGGCAGATTGAAGTCGACGAACATGACCGGGAGAAAACTGCCTTCGTCACTCCCGACGGACTGTACGAATTCAAAGTGATGCCGTTCGGACTTTGTACAGTACGAGCCACCTTCCAGTGCGTCATGGACACCGTGCTGGCAGGTCTGAAATGGCACAGCTGCCTCGTCTACCTGGACGCTGTCATCGTATTCTCACAAGATTTCGACGAACACCTCAGACGACTTCGAGCCGTTCTTCAAGCCATCAAGACCGCCGGCCTGTATCCCAAGCCAACAAAGTGTCGGTTCGCCTATGGGGGACTAAAGTTCCTCGGCCACGTCGTGAACAGCAAAGGTGTTCTACCTGACCCCGAGAAGACCCGCGCCGTAGCTGCATTTGCGCCACCGTCTGACAAGAAGGCAGTGAGAAGATTTCTCGGACTCTGTGCCTACTACAGGCGCTCTGTTCGAAACTTCGCCAAACTATCCGCACCGCTGACACACCTCACGAAGGACGCCATAAAGTTCAAATGGACAGAAGAGCACTAGAGGTCATTCGACAAGCTCAAACGAAGACTCCATACGCCCCCGATTCTTGGCCATTTCGACCAGTTTGCTGAAACCGAGATCCACACCGACGCCAGTAACACCGGACTGGGTGCGGTACTCGTCCAAGTGCAGGACGGAGCAGAGCGAGTTATCGCATACGCAAGTCGGTCGCTGCCTAACGCGGAGAGGAACTATTCAACGACTGAAAAGGAGTGCCTCGCTGTCGTCTGGGCAATAACGAAGTTTCGTCCATATTTGTTTCGTCACAGACCACCACTCGCTCTGCTGGCTAGCGAATCTGAAGGACCCCTCCGGACGCCTCGCCCGCTGGAGCCTACGACTGCAGGAGTTCGACATGACCGTAGTGTACAAGTCCGGCAGTAAGCACAATGACGCCGACTGCCTGTCGAGGGCCCCAGTCGAGGCCGGTCCTTCCTGCACCAAAGACGACGACGATGAGTGTTTCCTCGGCGCTCTGGATGTCAGCGGCATGGCAGCACTCCAACGAGACGACCCTGAGCTGTAAGCACTCATCGAGCACACGGAGCGTCAAGGAAGCGCCGTTGCCCGCGGTTTTGTACGAACACTGCCAACCTTCTCCATCCGACAAGGTGTGCTCTACAAGGAGAACCTCAGCGACAACAGCACGGCGCGGCTGTTGGTGGTCCCTTCCAGTCTTCAAGAAGAAATTTTTCAAGCGTGCCACGAAGACCCGACGGCGGGACACCTTGGTTACAGCAGGACTCTCGCCAGGATAAGCGAAAAGTACTACTGGCCCGAGCTTGCGAAGACAGTGCACAACTACACCCGATCTTGCCACGAGTGTCAACGACAGAAGACGCCACCGACGAGACCGGCAGGACTTCTTCAGCCTATTCTGCCGCCATCTGCCCCGTTTCAGCAAATCGGTATGGATTTAATCGGACCTTTCCCACCGTCGACGCAAGGAAACCGATGGATCATCGTCGCAACCTATTATCTCTCGTGGTACGACGAGACAAAAGCCTTTCCATCAGGAACGGCTGTTGAAGTCGCGAAGTTTTTCATCGAGTCCATCGTCCTCCGGCACGGCGCTCCCGAAGTTCTGACCTCAGACCGTGGATCATCATTCATGGCCCAGCTGACGCAAGAAGTCCTTCGTCTCAGCCACACCAGCCATCGTCGCACCACGGCGTACCACCCGCAGACCAACGGGCTAACGGAGAGACTCAACTAGACCATAGCCGACATGATCTCCATGTACGTCGACGTGGAGCACAAGACATGGGACGAGGTATTGCCGTACGTCACATTTGCCTACAACACGGCCGTGCAAGAGACCACCGGTGTGACACCCTTTCAACTGGTGCATTGGCGCAAGGTAACGACAATGCTGGACGCTATGTTACCCCACGAACCGGCTGTCGACGCAAGCGACGACGCCCAGGTGGTTGCCCAAAGGGCACAAGAAGTCCGTCAGCTCGCCAGACTCCAGATTAAGGCTCAACAACGTGTCGACACTGGCCGCTGCAACCTTCGTCGTCTGGACGTCCCCTTCCAGCCCGGAGACAGGGTGTGGGTGTGGACACCGATTCGCCACCGCAGTCTCAGCGAGAACCTCCTGAAACGTTACTTTAGACCCTACAAAGTGCTTCGTCGAGTCGGGGATCTGAGCTACGAGGTGATGCCCGACGAAACACGGACTTCGTCACGCCGCCCTCCACCGACCGGAAGTCGTCCACGTCGTGCGACTGAAGCTGTACTACGCTCGATAGGACTGTGGACCTTATGTGTTCCGAATGACTCTTTAGTTTACTGTTCTTTTTATTTGCTTTGTTTTGTTTTTGGGTTTTATCGGGACGATGCACTTTTTAAGGGGGGGACTAATGCCGAGCACGCAGCTCGCCAAGTAGTAGATAGCGCGCGCGTGGCCTAACGGTTATCGCGCTTGCCTTCCACGCAGAAGGCCGGGGTTCGATTCCTGGACGCGGCTACACATTTTTTTTTGACACTGTAATGTGATGTTCTGGTGAATTCGAGAACGGCCTTGCTGGTTCGAGGTTAGAATGTTCTACGCGCCAAATCTTCTACGCCGAACGATCCAGAAAGCCACGAGGGTACATAAGGGATTCCGCAAGGCGAGCGGAGTCAGTTTTCACCCCAGCGTTCGACTCTGCTGCAACGCCGACTGCGACTCCCGCGACGGTCTGTTATTATCTTTTGTACCCTTTTATTTTTGGCACAAGTTCGCCATATTAAACGTTTTGTTCTTCCTGTTTATTTCTTGTTTTTTTTTTTTTTTGGTCACCACCCGTGACAATATTTGCCTTCCTCGGAACCTATTCACCGGGCCCAGTCTGATGTTTCGATTGACTTTTTTTTTTATTTCTTTCGTATAATGGTGGACACAGGCCTCGTCCCTAGTTACAAATCGACTCAAATTTCTGACGTTCAACTCGAATGCGTCTTTGCTCCGTACTGATTAAGTACGGCACCGATCTTGCAGAAAGACTTTAATGCGAAAGCATTTACGGTTTCATGGCGAGAGCCAACGTCATCAGCTTTCAAACCACGCCAAAAGGCTCTTAAATCATTCTTGAGGTCAAGCCAGCTCCCATTTGCCGGTTCGCCATGCACCTGTTACACCGCTTCTATACCATTGGCTGGCTCGCGTCGACCAGGCTCTCAATCGCCGGACACGCAGCGCCATGGGGTGACCGATCGTTGAAACTGACGTTGCGCGTCAGTTTCAACGACCGGCCGCCTCATAGCGCTGCGTATCCGTCAGTGCCAGGTCAGCGCCAGTAAGCGCGCCAACCCGCGTAGAGTAAGAATGATATACATGCTTTCGCATTCACAACTCATAAGAAGTTTTAGGTGTACCTCGATCCTTTTTAATCATAATTGATTTCGTAAAATATGAACAACTCGTTCAGAAGTGATGCCCACTGCTTCCTCAGTTTCGCTCACTTTTATGCGGCGGTCTTCGAAAATCAAGTCATGATTTTATCCTGAAGTTATGGTGTGGTAGCCGTTTTTGGAAGTCCTGATCGTGGTTCATCAACTGTGTCCGTACGACCACGCTTGATTTCGGAAACGCAAAACCTCGCAGTGGAAAACGAGGGCGGTGACTTCCCAAAAACAAAATTCAAACATGGCATGATTTAATTTCCGTCACAATTTTTCTCTCCAAATAAAAAAAAATAACGACCGCTCGAGTTGTGGTTTCATTCATCGTTGAAAATGTTCATGGATGCTTGGCTAGAATGGTTGTTAAAGCCAGACTTTTTCAGATATAAAACTGACATTTGTGGTCACTTTATACGAAGTGGTGCCCAACACAGCGCCACAAAAATATTTTGGTAAAAAAAACATTTCTAACGCTGATTCCGGAAACTTTTCAATCTAACCTCGTATTTATAAAGCAAAAAAAAAAAACAAGAAAACATTTTTTATATCTCTCTCCTGCTCTTTACCGTGGCATGTCCGAAAAAAAAACAACAACAACAAGAACATTACGAGCTGCGCTCTAATTTCGCATTACACAAAAGAGTAAACTTTCTTTCCATTATAGTCTAAACTAGCAATTTTATTTTCACCTTGTAAAAAAATTAGTTCCTGTAGATATTTGTAAATTACGAACACACAAAATACCACGGCGATTACTCCGAACTATATTAAAAGGGCTACGCTGCAATCCATACTCCTTAGAGGTCAACGTAAAGTTCAATCACGAAATGCCTTCCGTTCTCTCACAATCACGACTTTGACATTCGCCATCTGCCAACACATCTCAAGCGCAATTACTCACTGCGACAAAACGATAAATAATATGATCTTCGAACTCCAGGCTCAAGCTAGCGGATCTATATACCCTTACAGATATGAGCACAATACTGCGCGTCTAGCCCCTTACAATAAAAGGCAAAAGAAGCCTTATTACTTCTCAAACAGCCCTCGTACATAGAAGACACGAACTATCTCCATGCCAATCATCGACGTTCATCAACAAAATTTAAAGCATAGCAGTATTTTTAAAGTAAGAGTTTGCCAAATGGAGCGTACGGTCGCTGGGAGCCCGTCCAGCTGGCGACCACCGTGGTTTGACACGAAGATCGCTGAAGCGCCGCGACTGATGGCTTCCTCCGCGTCTTCAGCTGTCAAAGTTAAGAAAGCTAGGTCGGTACACTCACATTTGCGAATACAATCGATGCATATAAATGTAGACGAAAGCTAGAACAGCAGCAGAAGCTTCACTAGACAAGTGACTTGGTAAGACTTCCCGAAACGTTTGTTCGGTAAAGCTTCTCCTTGTAACGTTAAAAAAGATCTATATATTTATAGTTATATTTACGAACACATTGCTGGATTTCATTACTGAAGTACCACAGTTTTTTTATTCCAAAATTTGGTGTTTGCGTGTCAATTTTTAGAGCCCTCTACGCCCAGAGAAAATTAACGTAAAACCTTGGATTTTCTTTTGGCCAGAGCCCGGCATGCTTTTCGCTGAGTGGGCAAACAAGTGCCAGGCTTCATTCCGGGTTGCTGGGAAGGTAATGGACCTTTTTACCGCTTGTTCGGTACTTTTAACATTATGCGGTGTACAGGACAACAATCACATAAAAGCGGAATAAATGTCCTTCCGCACATACTGAAGCTTCGGAGATGAACCCTATTAGGCCCAAGCAGCGATGGGCAGTATTTAAATACAAGCATTTGAAATACATATTTCAAATACTTTGTGTATTTTGCATTTGTATTTTATTACGAATTGGGTCATGCATTTGACGTGTGTATTTAAATACTAAAATGTGGGTATTTCAAATACAATTGTAATGAAATACATTTTTGTGGGGGAAAATATTTCCCTCAAATTTATTGTCACGACTTATTTTGCTCATCCTAAGGCGTGTTCAAAGCTGCTCTTTCTTCATCTCAATGCCAACGGCAACAACAAACCAAGAAACTCTTCATCTCTTCATACAACAGTCCTGCGGCAGTTTGCGTAGAGCGGCTATTTTCCCTTGACAGCCTTATTCTGTGCCGCAACGCGCGTCGTTCTAGCGACACGTTGTTCGAAAAGCTTCTGCTGCTGAAGTCGTACTAGTCGAAACTTCACAGATTAGCACGCACCAAAATTACACTGTACTGAGAAAGTATCTTCTTTAATGTTGCACTTGCCTCTATTACGTTAAATAAATGTTATTACCAAAGTTACAATTCTTGTTTTTATGCATGTGGTTGTAGGATATAGTCTCCATCCTTTATTCGGCCATGGTTGTTTTTTCTTTTTCTCCTCCGGCTTTAATTTAAAGGCAATGTCCAGAGCAGGAAGAAAACTACGTTCTGCACCGAATGCAGTGTCCCTCAATCAAGCACAAGCGTTTAGTGACTTTGTGATTACGGTGCTAGTCCAGGGTAAGAATAGTGACGAAATCGACGTTCACACGCAGACTGGCTAAATAAGTGCCTGTGACAACTTATGATGCTTTCCAGCCCGATTTCCATCCTTATTTTTGCCTGGAACATTCTAAATGCGCGGGTCGTCCAGATTTTCGTAATTCGTACTAGTTGAAACAATAAAATATTCTCTAGCTAGGGCTGTGCGTCTTGGTCGTCTCGGATCTTTGTTGGTCTATACCAAAATGTGATCGACAAAAAAAGCTACTTGAAGCTCTGTATTTTTTTCATCTATTACGTCCAAGCTGATTACAGTTTTTTGTGATTATATTTTTATTACGTTACTAGAGCCTCGCACACTAACTCCCGTGTGAGATGCAAAATTAAAATGAGATACATAGAAACCCGTTGCAGGTGCCCTCAAGTTGCTGACGCAGATTTTGAGGAATGTATTTCCAAAAGTATTTTGAGGAAACCAAATAGATTTGGTTGTATTTGTATCTTGTACTTAAATGCTTTTTTGGAAATGTAATTAAATTTGTAATTAAATACATTTTTGACGAAGTATTTTGTATTTGTATTTCGATACATATTTGCATGTATTTTGCCCATCCCTGGGCCCAAGCTTTTGCGTCTAGTCATGCTCGGCGTTTTTCTGGCGGGCAGCCTGTGTAGCCATATTTGTATTCAGAGAGCCAATGGGTACACAATGTGCATTTCCTGTCGTCTGGCGATTCTAGCTTGCGTCGTACTTAAGTGGGAAAATGCCCTCACTCCTAAATGGTGTTTTCTTCGTTTAGTGTCCAAGAGGTGCACCTACATCGAGTTAACCACAACGGTGAAATATCCATTAAAATACCATCTCTTTTAAAAATACGGAGTGAGTCTCGTGTTGCTTTTTTGCTTCTGGCATCAAAATATTAATAATAGCAATTCTCAGCTTTAATGTTTTCTCGCGATGTGACAAACGTCTTAGCTCGGTACGTTTAACCCAGGCGTGCATTACATCAAGTTATCCAGTAATGGAATTCATGCGAATACCGGTTAGTCCGTAACCTGCTTTAGAATATCTCCGCAGATCGAGCAGATCTCCATTCGCTATTTAATGCCTCCAAACCTTATAATCAGGATTAATAAAAAAATGTGAATATAGAAGATTGTATAGATTCTAGAGAATTAATTATTTCGAGCGCTCGAATAATTACGTAATTTAAATATTGAGAAGGCACGAATTTTCCTGCCTACAACACAACCGAAGAATGCAACCGCGTTTCAAATTAACTCGAGGTGTGTAAGGATACTATGCAAGTTCGCACTATTAGTGATTCCTTCGAGCACCAAAGGTAGACTGGTGATACTCTTTAACCAGGTGATGTCATCCCAAGACTGCGAGGGGTCGACGTGGGCGTCTCTCACGGACACCATCGCTTTCGCGTTGGCAGATTTGTTTTCCGGGCTTGCTTCGAGGTTCCCGAATCTGAGTTGAAAACGCGCTGTAGAAACTTTCCGCGTTTGTCGACGGCGTTTTCATTACGAGATCCAGAGTAACCGCTCATGCACACTGGAAGCGGATCCGCGTTCGCAAAGTTGCGGACGCCGGTTGTATAAAGGTTCAGTACAATATCACGCGCACTTCATGTGGGCGTGCAATTGTACTGGATCCTTATACAACCGCGTTCGCGACCGCTTTGCGAGCGCGGATCCCCTTCCAGTGTGCATGAGCGGTAAGAGCTGACTTTTCAAACGACGAACGGTCTTCAGGCCGAATTCGTCAACATCAATACTAGAAAAAAATAAGATAACAGCCATTGTCATTTTGTTTTGTCTCGTGCTCCAGAACAAGCACTCAAATAACGCATCGAAATTAAACTCAATGACTAAAGTTGAAACAAATGCAATATGCTTCTCTTTTTTAAATAATACTTTAAAATGCATCAACACGACTCATCCGGTTATTTGAGCAAACCTGCCTTCTTACCGGTGGTGATAGTTTAGACTGAGTAGAAGGGTAAAATATGCATGAGTCTCTGAACAAACGAACAGGGCCATGAAACTGCAATGATGATACCAAATCGCAATTCAAGTAGCCACGAACTATTAGAAAACAAAAACGACATGAACAGTCTGTTTTTTTTTTACAAGTTTAGTAATGAGGGTCAATACAGTATGTATTCAGGGTCCTTTTGTACATAACTGTGTGAAAGGTCGAGCTATAGACAAGTCGACTTAACGCCAAACATTTAACACACGTCCACTGATCAAAATACAAAAAAAAACATCATTATCATAGACAATCGTGGCCGACTGCAGCTCCTTGTTGTTTTTTTGTTTTCTTTTTTAATTACTTTGACAACACCGTAATATTACGGCTGCCACGAAATCCTCGTTCCATACAGACAAGATTATGATCTTGAGTATCAGCCGTTGCAACCTCCGCCTCTGTGGACCATGCCCGAAGTCAGCTCACTCAGACACATCAGCAAGGGGAGGGCAGGGGGGGGGGGGGGGTGGCGACCTCTTACGCAGAAGCTCATCACCTACATAAGAAAACCACATCGTGATTCAGCGAATAACAAGTCTTCGGGACGACGGAAGTCATCACCAGAGCAAGCTCATGGGACGGCAATGTACAATATAATTTTTCTAGCACGTAAAACCGACAAAACTGTTCACAAACAAGCAGCACGTGTCTGAGAACTGGGCACAATCCCTGACTGGCTTTTGGAGCGATGAAGGTGCTGTCATTATTTCGTAAACAGTATGCTAGCATATACGGTCCAGCACTCTGTTTCTAAACCCGCACATATTGACCTCACACCGACCTCATGTCGTCTGTGTCCTAGTCTTGTTCCTGGAAGGCGTCCCTGATAGGTGTGTTTACCGAGTCCAAAAACGCGGTCCCTCGATTTCCGGCTGATGACGTCGCAGAACTGTCATGCTTTCACCGGCCGCGATCCTGGCGGTGTCAGAGCGGCGGTGGTATACGTGGCCCACACCTGTTCTGCTGCGGGCTGATCTCCAGCTTGACAGTCCACGGAAGGTTATTAAGCCTGGGTTTGGGACACCACGACGACAGCGACACTCTCGTTTGCTAGTGATTTTTTGCCAGGACATCTACGCCGAGCAGCCAGGACCGCGACATCCGATCCGACAGCGTGACACTCCGGCGTCAGTGACGCCATGTTTTGCCACTTTACGACCACTTTCGGTTCATGGGCGGAATAGGACTCTGAACACAACAGCCGGCAACGCGTTCCAGATACTATGTATTTGTAGTTGTAGCGCACCGCAGCTCGGTACACCTGGACCAGGAGCTCGCGCTTCAGAAACCAGTGACCTCGGTCTCAATGGAGACTTTTAGAATAGTCCTCACGGTTCTTGGTCCTCTTAGAATCTTATGGTATCGCACTGGTTGTGCGCGGACGTTTTAAGTATCCAGAGTGCAGCACCTCAAGCTGGTTGCGGGACCGCTGGGGCGTCCTATTCTAACACTCCCTCATTTTTAACCTGGCCAAATTGCGTGAGGGAGGACATATAGCCACCAGATACGGTGCTTTTCCGAGCCAAACGTTAGCCGACTTGGTGCTTGTTACCAGTTTTCTGAAGTTTTATCTAACATCGCACAAAGTTAAGTTCCTTCCTCCGAAAATATTAAGGCAGTTTGTGACAGAGCTTTCTAATACTCTATCTAAAATTAAGAAAGTTGCATTTTTGAACTGTTATTATAACCGAATGCGCTTGCCCTGTACTACGCACCAAACTGGCGGCGCCCAAAAGAAGATTGGGGAATCGAAGCCGATATGTTAAGCACAGTTTATTGACTAGCTGGAGGTGGGCATTGTATACTGCCATGTAACCACCTCTGCATGATGCATGTTAAAGATTGCAGTTTATTTCAAGATACGGGCCCGCCTTCATCACGACATCCTACATTGTAGCGCCAAGTATAACCTATGCTAAGATAAGAGATTAGAGTCGCTCAGTTCCCTCCAACTTGGGTAGCGTATATACACCTAATGCCCCCTTTATGACTCCCTTGTAAAGGAATATTCCTTACGCCCTGACAGTAAAGCTCTTTTTAATTCCTAGGATTTTCCAATTGGCTGGAAGTGACTTTAAACCCATTAATAACTTTAAGCTCCCCTTGGATGCATTCTGTGAAATGTGTCCAACTTGTTTCAGTCTCCAGCGTTAACTATTGCCGATGAACATGGCCTTGCCTTCTTTCCTAATTTTCAGGACTCTACCGCGAATATTCAAATCGTCTTGCTGTTTTCGCGTCACATTATTTATTTATTATTCAATAGAACTTAGTGATTGTTCAAGGAATAGAGAAGTATGTGATTCTACGCGACTCATTATTTACATGATAATGAATGATACCAATGAGTAACAGTGTAAATGTGTACTGTGTGTACTTTAGAGAGTGGGAAGTCAATCAGCCGCAATAGGCGCCTGGTTTCTTCGCTGGAGGTGAGAAATTTGCCCACTGCAGCACAAGTGATACCCTGGTACGAGAATCATTCATATTGAAGAAGGCAGAGGCACGGATATATCCCAGAATCCTTGGGTTCCGCAGCGCGAGCCTTCGCTCTACCGATGAGTAACAAATTGACACAAATAATTAATAAAGTTCCCCAGGTTCGACGCACCTGATTCCGTCATGCATATAGAAACGCCGCATTACTGCGTCGATTTTCTTTCCAAGCACGGGAGAATCCACGGTGACCACGAGTGCCCGGTAGCCAGATCGTTCGGCGCGTCTCACCAGGCTCCTCGTGAGGTCTCGGTCAACGGCGAACTGTACTTGGAACCAGAAGAGGCCGTCTGGCACTTCCCTCTTCACAACCTCCATAGAAGTGCTGCTGTAGGTGCTCAGTACCATTAGAGCCTGCTCTGCCTGCGCCGCTGTAATGTCAGAAAATATGGACGTTCCTTCTACTCGGGTTCACTTTAAAAAAAACATAAAGTGAAAAAAAGATTTTTTTGTTTTATTTATATTTTTTTTTGTACATTTCTCTACTACAAATTTTTTTGCAATATTTACATTGTTAGGCGTAATTCAGTAGTGGTAGCCCTAGTCTATCTCACCCCCACCCCCCTCTGTCTCCCGGTGCTCACAAAACTAAGCACCGTTTCTCAGATCTCTTTGGATCGAGAGGTGATTGACGTGCGAAATGTTGGTTGTAAAATTGTCTCTCTGGGCCGTAATAGCATTGTGATCTACAATGTTTTTATGTTTGAGAAACAAGCAATCTAGACTAAGTCATTATTGTTTTCAAAAAATTATCCCAAGATTCCCGTTCCCCTTCACTTTGAAATGATAACGAACAGGGCTGCCGGCGTCCTGCGAAGTGATCAACTCTGCTAAAACACTCCGTTGGGTAACTCACCCTTGAAACCGGGACCGCTCACCTCCACCGAGGCCAAACCAAATACGATAACAGCGCCGCCCTTTAGCAACTGGTCACAGTATGAAAGTTCATTTATATTGCTACTGCGAAATGGCTCTGCGAGATGGCGCAACCGGCCCTTGCCTCGTTGTACCAGAACTGTTGCGTGCAGACGTGGACTTCCCGGAGTGGCCGCTGCAAGAGAAATGGCGTCGTTGCGATCGCCAATTGTTTGGTTATGGAGTACGTATCGAAGTTCGTGATAAAATGTAAAGCGCGCAAGAAACAAGGACGAAAAAGAGTCGGAGTCGTGTACTGCATTCCGCTGTCTTGTGGTAACGCCTATGTGGGCCAGACTGGACGTTGTATTAATGATGGACTGAGGGAGAACTGCAACTCTCTCCGTAACACTCCCTCTGGCCTTTTAGCAGTCCACCGCAGATGGTGTGAATGTGCTGCTGTTTTTAAAAACAGTAATATTTTAGGACGATTTAAGGAGCAGAAAGAAAGGAAGGTTTTATAGGCTTTTATTATCAAACCTTTGGTGATGGCTGCATATGTCACCCGTCACTTGCTTTGACAGATTAAGAGGAAGCACTCTTATCCGCGACAGTACCATGCGCACGTTAAAGAGGGGGAGGGTAGCAAAAGGGGTTCCTTCGTTTTGTAGATTAGAACCGGTAAAAGGGGCGGTAGAGGGGGGAGGATTGAATGACGCATGTGCTGTCGGCGAAAAGGAACTATCTTCGTGTTTTCCCAAATATAATTAAAAGTTCAGTTGCGAGTAAGCGCTTGTCTGTCTTACGTGTCCTCTCTTTTTCGTCATTGTTTATTGCGCGCTTTATATTTTCTCATGAACCATGCTACCAACTAGCCCAACTTTCAACCCTACTGCGGATCGAAGATACTGTTTTCAACCAGGCTTTATGGCAGTTTCCCAACTGAGTTGTACTAGAAACGACGGGAGTGAGCAACGAGAGCAGCTCGTCCAGCTCATTTGTGTTAATGTGCGCCAGTCATTCTGAGTTCACCGCGGTGTTTAGACGAAGATCTCGTCAACCGATGTAGTCTGCAGCAAGCGATCGTTATAAGTACATGCCTACGGAAGCGCTGTTGGCACTGTGCAAGTGCTTGGGTTCGTAGCGTGGGTACTGGGACAAACCTAAGCCTAGCGTCCCACTTTCCCCGAAAAGCAGCCACCCAAGCAGCACCAGAAAGTGAATTTCGATCGGCCGACGGTTGGCCAGTGTCTGGACAGCTTGGCCACTTTAAGTGCTTGGCCACTGGAGACATAAACAAGGCCGGCAAGAGTCCGGCCACAAGCTAGCTGTTTTTAGCTTGTCCACCGGAGACATAAACACTGCCGGCAAGCGCCTGGCCAGCAGTGTTGATTTTCAGCTTGGCCACCGGGGACATAAACACGGCCGGCAAGTGTTTGGCCAGAAGTGCTGATTTTTAGCTTGGCCGCCGGAGACATAAACACGGCCGGCAAGTGTTTGGCCAGTAGTGCTGATTTTCAGCTCTGCCGCCAGAAACAAACACGGCCGGCGAGTGTTTGGCCAGCAGTGCTGATTTTCAGCTTGGCCGCCAGAGACATAAACACGGCCGGCAAGTGTTCGGCCAGCAGTGCTGATTTTCAACTTGGCCGCCGGAAACGTAAACACGGCCGGCGAGTGTTTGGCCAGAAGTGCTGATTTTCAGCTTGGCCGCCGTGGACATAAACATGGCCGGCAAGTGTTCGGCCAGAAGTGCTGGTTTTCAACTTGGCCGCCGGGGACATAAACATGGCCAGCAAGTGTTCGGCCAAAAGTGCTGATTTTCAGTTTCGCCGCAGGGACACCCATAATATAAACTTTCATCGCGTTGACAAAACTTTGGCATAACGAAGGGCAGCGAGAAAAGCATCATGAGTGAGTGGTTGGCAGGATATTAGTGCGCGTGCATCGCGCGAACACTGTTAGCGCAAGCAAACGATCACCGTTTTATTCAGTTTTTTTTTCGTTAGTCTTGAAAGGCTATTGTCTTAACTAGCACTGTCGTGTGATATGTTCATTTAGAACATTACCAGAAGTGGGAAAATATTGTGCCCGTCGTTGTTCTATGAACATGAAATACGAAAACAGCGCCCACGTCATGTTCGCGCTAACAATACCGCTCTGTCGCTGCGCGGCCCCCTGTCGCTGCGCGGCCCTCTTAGCGCGAATACCATATCCGCGATTTTTCGGTTGATGCTCCACATATTTACTTCCCAACTGCACTCGGAGAAAAAAAAAGTTGTAGTCGGGTGCATCGGGCGCACGTGCTCCCCTTTCCTGGAAGACGCACCCTCCGTTACCCAGCCAGTGTACTTGTACACCGACCATACGCCCCCTTCTCTACCTTAAAAACCTATAGGTGTATCAATGCACTCAGCCTAGTAAACCGCCACGCTAGCCACGCACCCCGATCAGCTTGTGCTTGAATCGGATAAGATTGGATATTTCAGGCTTTGTGTTTTGGAAGAGCCTAAACAACACGTCTCTTATATATTGATTAAACTTAAGCTAGTCTCAGTAATGTTTTATATAGGTGCTAGGATACTGATTTCCTGAGCCAACGAAAGCTAACAGCTTCGGTTAAAACCGCAACGGAAACGTTCAAAGTCGAACCACATGTAAAAGAAAAAGACAATAAACATCTCGACCTAGATGTGCAGAACGCTGGTTTTGTTGTTAACGACGTGGTAGTTGGCGGGTGGTGGGCAACGCCCTAATGCTATTGACGCTATCGTGGTGATCGGCGCCAGTGATGCTCGGCCGTACTACACAGTAAAAGTGTTTACACCTTGAAGGGTGTACAAGGGGTGTTGTAGCAACTTACACCCTCGGCTACACCCTTTTAACACCCTAAAAACTAGGAATACAATCTCATAATTTTACCGAAAAGGGTGCTGTTTCGTGTTACACCCTACATTTAGTGAAGAATGTGAGAAGGGTGTAGAAGAGGGTGCTAAATAAATAATGTGAAATGGTTTTGGAAAGCTTATATATGGCTCTGTCCATAATGTACAGGTGAGATTTCTGCTTGAAAAGCAACAGTTGTTAGCAGTCTAGTTTTTTATAATGTCAGTTGTAATTCATGCAAATAGCTGATAATAAAGTGCCTCTTTTGCATACAATTTTTATGCTAGCAAACAAAATTTTATATATGAGTTCATATTTCATTTTCTTACAAGTCACTCCATGCTCAGAAATTGGAAAGTAGGGTGAAATGCTCTATACTAGGATTTTTTTAAATATTTATTGATGGAAGTTTACAGTAAAAAAAAACCAGTTAGTCTCGAGTTTGTACCTGGCAACATGAAATCAAAATATAGTGAAAATGTTTGAGAAATATTAATGACGTGCTGCTAGAACCTGTCACATGACCATGTCAACCTGAGTAAAATATTCATTTGAGAATATGGTGACATGCACGAAAACTCTCACACATAAAGAGGCAAATCCCATAATAAACCAGTCCGAGACATCCCATACAAAAATGGCCTATGGTGGTCTATGGAAAATTCAATGGTAGGCTTTCACCCCCTGTAGCTTTGCATGGTGGGCATTAGAAATTTATAGATACAGCTACAGCCAGCTATAGGAAGTATTCACTGGCGGCCATAGATGTGTGCACGACTGCTAAGCGCGTGCTGATGACGAGCTTCCACAGTTCTTTTGTCACGTGTATTCCGCACCCTCAAGATTGCCGGTCTTAGCAGCCTATTAATGTTGGCTCGTTCTGAGCATGCGCTCTAAACAGCACCCACAAATATGGCGCCAAGTGAATGCTCCTTATAGAAACGTTTAGGGCCCTGTGTCTAAAGACTCAGGGCTATGTTTCAATAACAACAATAATAATAATAGTAACAATATTCAATAAGTTAGTGTTTTAAGAGTGTCCAGGGACATCCAATTGTTCTTCTTGCGGGCGCAGTGCAATAGAACGCAGAAACAGACGCTTGCACGCTCGCAGTCGCACTCATACGCGCGCGCGCGCACGTACACACGCATGCACACGCGCAATCCCACGCCCGCGCGCAGACGCACACGCACGCACAACCAGAGACGCACACACGCATGCACGCGGACGCATCCACACGTGCGCGCACAAACACGCACGCGCATGCATGCACACACACGCAAACAATTACGATGAAGGAAATGTTTCTCAAGTTAGTTTCGGTTTCGGTTTACACAAAAAAGAAACAACGTTTAAATAAAACCTAAGATTTACTCACTTTTTGTAATGTTTTACATTATTATTTTAAGGAAATTCTCATTATTACTAATAGAATAATAATTTGCTTAGTATCGTTCTAAAAAAAATTAACAATAAAGAAAAAAAAAGAAAAGAGACTCTTGAAGACTGCACAAGACCATCGCTATTGCAATCAGCTTCCGTTGGGCACTGGTTAGACACGCTGGACGAACTATTTGTACCGAATATTTCAATGGCACGAGCATTTCTCCATTCGACGGGGAATGTAGATTC